CTTTTATTGATGACTGAAAAAATTTTTTATTTTTTATGTGCTCTCTCTTCCCATTGCTTACATTGGCCCACCTGAGCATCTGTCCAATAATTGATTACAGTGTGCCACTTAGGTATAACAGCAATACCCAGCAGCATCTGATGAAATGGGCTCTAGCACACAATAGTTTATGACAAACTCATTTTTTTTTCAAGCAACTGACCAGGATCCTCTAGCCCCAAAACCTCTGAAAGTTGTTCCTTGGTGCCATATAAACTTTGAGGCATATACCAATTTAATGTGGCAGACCTTGCTTTGACACCATCCTTTAATATTTTTTCCTTGCTTCTTCTCTATATTACTATTTTCTACACCTCCATTTCCACTAACTGGTGTTTTGGTTCGCTGCCTTGGGCTAAATCCCAGTAGAGAATAGATTTGCTAACTGGCTGTGGAAATGTTACTGTTTGGGACTGCAGCACCCAGCTAGCATTGTCGCTGGCTATCTTGGCTGGGGAATTCTGGAACTCTGAGCAGTTCAAGAGACATACCATACTCCCCAAGACACGTAAATGTAGAGTTAGAGTTGCACAGTTCAAAAAGGACAGTAACAGCATCTTTTCTTTCTATTCTTTGAGAACCACTTTCTAAAAATCTAAGGTTCATAACCAACTGTAACTTTACTAAGTTCAATAAGCTTTTATATTTCCTTTTACTCTTTCTGAAGTCCTGCTTATCTCAGCATAGCACCTAGCAAATCTCTGAAAACCTTGTGGAAGATAACAAGGAACATGATTGTTTCTGGAAGCCCAGTAAGATGTATAAGATCAGATGGGGGGGTGGGATGAGGACTCAAAGTATCTCCCAGCCATCATGAAAAACATGAGTTGTAGCATTTTCCAGCTCAGTATATTGCCTGGTCACATCTGTTGTAGAAAAACCAACAGAGTCCACAACACCTAACATTTTATTATAGTGCTTATTGTGTTTTCCACATTTCCACTGGGTTGTTTTCTGACCCCCATTCTTTTCCATAGCTCTATTACTTTCTACATATTGTTTATAGATAGCTTTATCAGATAGCACTCGGCTTTCAGGAAACAAGTTAGGTGTCCCCAAAAATATGTTTTCCCATAAACTGAGGGATAATGGGCCACACTAATAGATACCTCTTCAAATATATAACATTGTTGACTTTGTTGTTTGAAAATATTAGTCAAATTGCTCGTTGGCTAAACAGGTTGAGAGACTTATTTTTTGCAGTTGAAGTAAACATAGCTTCCTAGGGTGGTTGAAATAACCAGATAGGTGGGGTATAAACAAACAAACAAACAAACAAACAAATAAATAAAAACTGTTCCTCGAGATGGGCCTGAGACAGGTGAAAGACAGGAATTTAGGCCTGGCTGTCATCTAAGTAGCATTCCTGTGATCTAGGTAAAATCTGGCCAACCATAGCATTATTTAAAATTGTTATTGCTCTTATAGTTCCTCGAGATGGGCCTGAGACAGATGAAAGACAGGAATTTAGGCCTGGCAGTCATCTAAGCAGCATTCCTGTGATCTAGGGCAAATCTGGCCAACCATACCATTATTTAAAATTGTTATTGCTCTTATAGGTAGGAATAGTGTGGTAGCATCAGTTTGGGTTGGTTCCCACCAGGGACTGGTGTTAGCTATTAAATAGGGAAATGCCTTTTCTTTTTGCTTCAACTGGGGAGGAGGCATCCTGAAACTTAATTTTAAGAGCCATTTCTAATAGTGACCCTCAGCTAGCACCAAGTTTCTATCTCTTGTGGAAACTCTCTTAATCCTTGCATGGTGCAAAATATGAAACTTTGATTCTGATTGTATTAGCTAGCGCAGAAACTGTTCTGCAAGCTCTCAGCCATTGAGAAAACGCTCTGTTCAGGCTGTTCTATAGGATGTCTTGTATTTCTGAGGGGGTTGGAGGGACTATTCAGGCATTTTTTTACCCAGAGAGAACACCCACTCTCCACAAACCAACAGCCAAGGATTTTGGTTTTGTTCTCTTCATAGTGTTCCAGCCAGAGCGTCCTCGGCCCCAAGCTAGTATCTTATACAGGATGAGGCTGATTTTGCTTAGCTGTTGATCCAGCATTACTGGAGTGGGGCGGATCATATTTATTTATTTATTTATTTATTTATTTATTTATTCATTCATTCAATTCATTCATTCATTCATTCATTCATTCATTCATTTATATTCCACCTATCTGGTCTTGCGACCACTCTAGGCAGCTTCCAAACAAAGTGGGGTCTTTTGGTAGCATATGCCTTTTAGTTGCCATCATGGCATGGATAGGTATGCACCATGTGTTTGTCATTGAAATGTTTATAAAAAACAACAAATCTGATCACAACGCAAAGAGCCTTTTGTATCAACTTCATGCTCAATCGAAATGCTGCTGTTCTGGACTGGAAAAAAAATGTATTGCTACGGGTTGAAAATTTCAGGGCCATAGGTTCTCTGGGACTATCTGAAAGCTGAGGTCTACAAGCATTGACCAAGAACGATCGATGAACAGCAGCAATACCACCAAAAATAACCTACCGGGTGATACAAAATTTCAAAAATTGACTACAAATGTCTGTTGCCTCACCCTGTATTATGGGAGCGATTAGTAAAAGGCTTTTTCATTGCAATTAAACTATGTGTTCCTACTGGACAAACACAACTTCATATGCGTGCTTTTGTCTGTTAGTAGTCTGGGTTATTTATTTTGAGTTATTTATAAAATAAATGATGAAAGTTTGGACTTAACCAGACAAACAAGATTTTTATTGAAGGACCATAGGTAAAAGATGTGAATGGAAAGGTAGGTTCTAGGATGTGAATAATAAAAATTAAAACAACAGTAAAATGTAAGTGTATTTCTTCTGTATTTAAAGACCAAAATAACTTCTGTACAAACTCTTAATCTGTAAAGAATCTATATACAGTCGTGCCCCACTTAACAAGGAAATCGCTTTACAAAGAGGTTTTTGCGATCGGAATTGCAATCGCAAAATGATGATCTAATGGGAGAATTTTGCTTAGCGACGATCGGTTCCCTGCTTCAGGAACCGATTTTCGCTTTCCGACGATCAAAAACAGCTGATGGTCGGGTTTCAAAATGGCCACCGGCTGAAGAAAATGGCCCCCCACTGTGCTTAGGGACGGGTTCCTCGCTGCACAGGCATGGAAAATGGCCACCCCTATGGAGGATCTTTCCTGGACGGTGAGTTTTCAGCCCATTGGAACGCATTAACCGGGTTTTAATGCGTTTCAATGGGCTTTTTTATTTCGTTTGACAATGTTTTCGCTCTACAGCGATTTCACTGGAACGAATTAACATCGTCAAGTGAGGCACCACTGTAACAGACTCTTAAAGCTCTATGAACAGACTTCTCTTCATAAACTCTAGCAGAGACTACTTTTCCTGTATAACACTAACTTGCATGTTTATCTCAAACTCTTAGATTTCACTTTTTGCTCTAATGTTTCTGATCTCCTTGATTCTAGTTTGTCAAGTCTTACCTGATGCACAGACCCTACTCCCACAACAGTCCAATCATGCTAACCTATCAGCATTCTATCATTCGCCTGTCAATCCCACTAGCACTCCGTCCATACATATCCACCCTACAGACATACAATGCTGTTTTTGTACTAAACTGGTCCCGGTAATTTTAGCTACATTTGTACACAGAACCTTTAAGAAATAGTAGAATTGCCACATTTTGCAATCAGTTATCCAAGTAGAGCTACTGGACAGCTTGCAAATTCATTAAGCTTCATTATGTGTTACTTGTGCTCATTGTACTGCTTGTTCCACTAGTGAGAAAAAAGCTACTTATGGACTCCCTGGATATTTTCCACTCTCCTAAGATGGGATATGAATCTTATCTTGCTTGGGTTTTTAATATTCTTGTGGGATTATTCACTACAATAAAACCATTAAAAATGTTTCCTCCTCCATTTGTGGCATTCAACCTTTGTACAGTTCATCATAATCCCTCCGCAAGAAACAACAAAAACTTAAATATAAATAATTTCTTATGGCTAAATATAAAAGTGTTCAGTTTGTTAAAAAATCTAATTGCAGAAACATGTCCAAACACCTACAAACATTTTGGTGCATTTACTGGCCATTATGTTGTCTGTGGAACTGGGATTATTCAATTCAGATGTGCTTAGAAACTTCAAGTCCTGCGTGATTCAAATAATTTACCACTAGTTCCAGCATGATTTGAATGATCATTTTAAATGGTGGAGCCAGTTACTAGTGGACTGGGCTCCTTCTCACCATTGTTCCCTGACCCCTTTACACTGGTAAATGTTGTTTCCTTGCTTACTAAATGGAGTATGGGAGTGAACTGGAAATGTTACTTTTCCGACTACAACTCTCAGAATGCCTCAGGGATCACAGACATAGGCCATTCAGGCTGCAGATCGTAGGATAAAGATCAACGATTCTTTAAAAATCAAATTGCTTTACATCATGATTAAATTTCAAAAAATATTTAAATCATTTTAAAAAAAACTTTTTTGGATGTAAATCATGATTTAAATCATTTTCATTTAAATCAAATCCAAAGATCGACTTGTAATACAGTTCTGCAGTGAGCCAAAAGGCTGTGGCTTTTATGACCCAGGCATTGCATTTTGAAACCTTTGCCAAAAAATGGCCTTAGCTCTTCCTTCTGTATCTACTTTTTACCACTCTGCTTTGAGGCTCTTGGCTGGAGAAAGCCCCATGGCCATCCTCAGTAAAAGCTCAGTAATTTCAAGTCAGTGCCATTCTCCCCATTTTGCCATTGTTACTATTTTAGGTACCAAATGTATGGTAGACAGCATTTTCCTACTGCCTTAGAAATTCAGACAAGACTTAAGATAATGAGGCAAAGCCAATGTATTCAAGTGTAATTTCAGCAAGCCGCAGCCGAGCAGATTGTTGGAAAGTTTTGATCACATTACTTTTAATTAAGCACTGTATTTATCTGACCTATTTGAACAGGATCCAGAGTTGGTGCGCAACATCTGTCGCTGGGTGAGGCAAGCTGTTCAGATTCCGTTCTTTGCCAAGCTGACCCCGAATGTCACAAACATTGTGAACATTGCAAGGGCTTCACAAGAAGGTAACAAACTCATGTCATTGTTATATAAGCTCACAGCTTGATTAACAAGGACACATAGCCATCATAGAAACACTCTTAAGGGACACTCACACCTTGGCATTTTCCATTTGCTCTTTGCTCTCAGGAACATGCAGGTGGAATAACAGCACTGAAATTTATAACCTGGTTCATGTATTACCTGAGCTTTCATCAAGTAATGGTGGAGTGCAGGGCTCAGCTTCTCAGTGGGCCCATTAGCTCCTGACTGCTATTCTTACCAATCACTGCTCTTCACTGCTGCCTTCAAATTACTGGCAAGCATACAAGTGTTATCAAGTGCTGCTGTTGTCTTCCTTCCCATCATTGGGTTGTATGCTTTAGGTTGGGAGTTGGCAAGGTGCAGCCCTCCAAATGCTGATGGATCGTAGTTACCACCAGGCTTAGCCAGCCTAGTCATAGGTGGGGAATGCTGACAGTTACAAACTAACACCATGTGGAAAGTGCCATCTTTAGGGATGTGTTGACATGACACTGACATAGTTGGTCATATCAGTCTGTCTGGGCTTGGTAATTATTCTCCAGTCCTTGCAAAAGTTCTCATCACTTTTGTGCACACAAGATGTTTTGGGGAATCATGGTTCGCAGAATTTACGCAAAATGCCCAAAGCACACATGCAGAGCAAACACAAAAAGCCAGGCTGATGATTCTTGAAGAGACAAGAAAACCATCAAATACTTTTATTTTTAAATAGATCCATACGGCTACAAAGCAACGGTCTTGTTGGTGCTTGCACAAAAAGACTACACTTGCAAATGCACAAATTCTCACTTAAATCAGTTTTAAAAATTCACCTCGTTACAAAGAGAGAGGGGTGCAAATCTAGGATTTCACATTTAGTATAAGGACAAACCAGGGCATGATCCATATGCATTTTGTCCGTATCTGTCAAAAAGTGGAGGGCAAATGAGTTATCATATGACAGTGTTGGGGAAATCAAAGGTTTTTGGCTAGGATGAGGTATGTGAGCTCAATCAAGCAGGAGGGCACTCTTGCTTATCCTGGATACCAACTCTGCTTTTTGCAATCACACAGATACCATCACACACAGGAAAAGGGCTCTGTGCCTCCCAGAGTAGACCATTGGTCTAGATGGGCGGGGTATAAATCTAATAAATAATTAAAATAAATAAATCTGTGTGCCTGCCTAATCACATGGATATCTGTTTGGAGCACCTGGTCAGCATATTCATCAGTTTCTTATGTTGTTCAAACAAAGGGATAATTTGGATGATATAATTAAAGTTGCTGGCTTCCGTGTGATCAGGAACAAAAACACGTTTGAGCAGAGTGATCAGGCAAAAAAGAGAGCCTGGCTCCTATATCTTTCATAGTCCTCTGGAAGAGGACATTTCAGCACACGTAGCTTTCATTAAAAACTGCATTTGCTCAAACTTCCTTTTCTACGCAGCTATTAAATGTACAGGAACCCTGTTCTCTTTTTCATCCGGTCACCTTCAGTTTGAGAAGTCATCTTCATTCCAAGCACACCCCACCTTTTTCCTCACATCCATTCTTCAGCCTAATGTCTACTTGAAGCTCTTGTATGTGGGGTTTAAGCTAAACCATGCACCTGATTTCCTGTATAAAATCCATACACTGTAATATCAATGGTTGGCTTTTCAAATGCCACATTGTACAAATGCCAATTCTGCCTGGAAGTGAGCCCAGCTCAAAGAGTTGGGTAAACGCATCATATCTCAAGGAACTTAAAGCTTGGGGTTTTTTGGTTACAAGTTACCTCAGAAACTAATCTTGTCAAAACTCCTATTGATTTCTAATCTGAGTGAGATGTTCAAAAAACTGCATTTGAAGTTTATCTCAAACTAAGTTGCAGAAAGACTGTAAGCACTCATTCTTATAAAATGATTGTGGAAAATGAACATATAATTTCCTCTTATGGAGGAAAAATATTGCATCAGAATCAGCTATCAGTCTGCTCTTAATTTCTATATTTGAGAAAGCTAGCACAATGGGATTTTCTTAGCTCTCTCTGTATCTTTGGGACATTTCACATGTAATACAGAACAGTAGAACTGAGGTGGAAAACTTTTAATCTACCAGGTATTTGGGGCTTTCAGTTCCTTTAAGCCACACCCACTTTAATCAGCAGTAAGGAATGGTGGGAGTTGAAAGCGAAAACACCTGATGGATAAAGCGTTCACCACATCTGATAAAGAGGCAAAAAGGAGATTGTGCTGAAGTGTGCATTTAAGAGGGAGCTACAGATCATCACATCTCTGTGACAAGTGTGCCTCCTGTTGTGAGGGTCGCTGAATGTGACATCTTTAGAATATGAAAATTACCCAATGAGTACTGAATATGTTAATATCAAAAGTAAAGCAACGCTGATGATGTATTTCTTGAGGGGGGGAAAAGATAGACCGAGAGATAAAGTGAGGAAAGGCTAAGCTTGTCTTCATAATAGTCTTATTGCTACTAATATAGAATAATTATTAATGTCTGTTGCTGTGTTGGCACGCTTGTTAAAGTTATCAATGACATGTGTTCTCAGGTGGCGCGGACGGTGTTACAGCCACCAACACCGTGTCAGGGCTGATGGGGCTGAGAGCAGATGGCACACCTTGGCCTGCTGTTGGACAGGGGAACAAGACCACATATGGTGGCGTATCAGGTAGGTGTTGCCCTTTCCTGTGGAAAAGAAAAGGCTACCTCTGAGGCCAGCAAAATATCAAGAGGTATGTGTGGTGTGCCCTGAATGTCTGTTGAGTTTTAAGCTTGTTGCTGGTCAGTGTTTCCTAACAGTCGTGACAGATGGAACAGATTGAGTGTGAACACTCCTGGGTTGCCCTTTCCTTAATGGTGAAATACTGCAAGGCAATGTAGTGATGGGGTCACCCCAGAGGAAGGGAGAAATCTCTTTTCTCTCATGACCCACAGTTTTCCTGGAATTTTTCATTCTGTCACAGTTGTCAGGCCACATGTTAGACAGAGGCTAATCAAAGGGCATTGCAAGTAGAAAATACAAACATTCCCTGTGCAATGTGGGGGTTGTCGTATTTTTTTTTTCCTCCTATGCAGTGCTTGCCTTCTCCTTCCCTCCCTGTAATCTGCTTTCTTACCACATTTCCATAAATGGTTTCCCACGGGAGATGAAACCACACACTCCAATCCAATATTTCTCCATTTTACCCCTTTGTGATATATACATCTACACACTTTATGTGATGGATTCCGGCATGGAGTGTTATTTTAAACTGTCTATCAGGAAGTGTGTGTTGTGTGTTTGGGGGGAGGAGTTTAGGTACACTCCTGCAGTGTTTTATTTTCACTGATGGATTAATCTGTTTGACCCCGTGCCCTCAGTTGCTGTGACAACATGAACCTGGTCCTGCAGAGACAATGCTGTGAGCTTCTGGACTGTAGTGGTATGGAGATTAGTCTCCTTGGAGATATAAACAGTGGTAAATATTCATAGTATAATGGTGTCCCGCTGTTCTAGCAAAATGCAGCTGAATCAGGCCAAATATATTTAGAGAAGGCTGGACAGACAAAAGGAAACAGTGTTCTTTCATGTTGCTCTATTGTGTGTGGAAAAGAGGAAAGCTGTCCTGGGGTGATTAGCTTGCTGGGTGTGTTAGTTTTTTTCTAATTGACTTATAAATGTATAGGAACCATTTACAGCAGTAAATTGGCCCACAGCCTTCTACAGATAAACACTATTTGTGTTTAATAGGTAATATTTAAAGTAAATTTTAAGAATGAAAGGGAAGCATCGGCTTATTGCAGAAGTAAGCTTATTCAGTGCAATCCGTACAGGATGCAGGAGTGCACGTAAAAAGGCAGAGATACAGACAGGCTGACAGAAGAGAAAGCGGGAACACAGTTGCCTCCTCGTGGGGTTTAAGCATTTCCTACACTTTATTATCCCATTTCAATTTTTTCCGCCCTGCCATGTTGACAGCAGAAGAATAAAAGAGGTCACAGAGGGTGCTGCACATTAAAAATTAATAAAAGGACTATTGCAGTAGTATTTTATATAAGTAACACCATTTGGCAATATGGTTTTTAAAAAATGTTTTTATTCATTTTTTAAGCTGCCATTCTGAATATTCCTTCACGGCATGTCAGACCAATAAAACTATAAAATTGCTGCATTATGGAAAGCATGCCCTCTACCCCACAGATTTAAAGTGTGTGTATCATGTGGATTATAGCAGCACCTGAACTCTCTGCCCTTGTCTTGGCTGGCCCCTCTTTCCATACTAAAGCTCTGTTTTCATGGTTGATAATTCACCTCTCTGTTGGAAGAGAGGGAATGTACCCACATATTTTGCAGCTTGAAACCTCCCAGACTGTAAAAAATATAGGAAAATTTCTCCTCTGGCATGGAACTTCAGAATATCCAAAAGTAACCATAGATAGCAGCCCCTTTCAATTTTTCACAGCTTACAACACAGGGAAATAGAAGACGGGAGGGCTGAGGGAGGGCAAGATTTACTAGGCTATGAACCTGCCAAAGTATTTTGGGTCTCATTGATTTCAACAGGGGAGAGCCAAGCACTGACTTTATTGAAAACATGTACAGTACATAATCAATAGCAAATTTGAAAAAGAGGCAAGGATATGGGTATATCCATGTTGGGACCTTTTGGTCAGAGGTTGCATCATCATTTAACAGAATATTTTTCCTAGGGCTGGGAGCCAAAGATTATTTTGATAATCAGCCCGTTGGCGTCATTGATACATGTATTGCGGGGGGGGGCAGTGTGCTCCTGCAAAGAATGGAGAGGAAGAGGAGGAGGACGGTGGCAGTTTGCTAAGGAGGTACGGTGGTCTTCAGACATTCAGCACTGCTGTGTTGTGTGCCAGAAACTGCCCATCCATTTCTTGAAGGCCAGTCCATGGCCTGACTAGCCCAGAGCAGACAGGACTGGGTATATCTCCGGTGTTCTTGGCAGGTTTGAGTTGCCCATAGTGCTTCCCATCCTCTTTTCTTGGTCAGACTCTTCCCCAACCCTTTGCCTTCACTAGGGTTCTTGGTAAGCCACCATTTTTCTGGGTCAAGAAAGATTTTTTTAATTTTAATTTTTTTAACATTCATGAACAAGGGAATGTCTTCTTCTTAGCAAGTTAGGTTCACAGTTGTTTTAACCAGTTGTTAATGCATGCTTTTTTTCAGTGCTACAGCTATCCTAGGGGAACACTGTGAACACTCGGCAGGATGGGGTTCATGGCATAAGTCTGACTTTTGGGCAGGATGGCTAGCTCCTTCCTCAAGTGGCAGGGGAGACCTACTCAGGGTCCTTGTGGGTCTCTCATCTTTCCACTCCATTGTGGTTGCCCTGTAGGCAGGCTGGGCACTGATACACTCGTGCCCCGATTTATGATTACCCCGTTTAACGACGAATCGGCTTCACAACAATGTTTTTGCGATCGCTTTTGTGATCACTTTTGCAATCGCAAAGCAATGGTTTGAATAGGTTTTTTCTGCTTTGCGATGATCGGTTCCCTGCTTTGGGAACCGATTTTCACTTTATGACGATCAAAAACAGCTGGTTGTCGGGTTTCAAAATGCCTGCCGGCTGAAGAAAATAGCCCCCCACTCTGCTTAGGGACGGATTCCTCGCCGCACAGGCATGGAAAATGGCCACCCCTATGGAGGATCTTTGCTGGATGGTGAGTTTTCAGCCCATTGGAACTCATTGAACGGTTTTCAATGCATTTCAATGGGCTTTTTTTATTTCACTTTACAATGTTTTCGCTCTACAGCAATTTCGCTAGAACGAATTAACGTCGTCAAGCGAGGCACCACTATGTGTCTGCCAGCAACTGCATAGGTAGATGATTAGATTCTTGCCTGTTGGTGCACCAAATGCTATTCAGTAGCAAACAATAAAGTAGAGACCATATCCATTCCAGTTTGGTTTATCCATATGTGTTGTTCTCCCTACCTCCTGGCCTTCCTGCACTCCTGGCCTTCCTGCACTCTTGGCCACTGGGGATTGTTCTCCCTCCCTTCTGGCCTTCCTGCACTCTTGGCCACTGGGGCCATTAGAATATTTCACTACCAGTAGCCTTCTGATACAGCTGTGTCCATGAACCTCTTTCCCCAATTAAAGGCACAGAGGGTGACAATGGGCAAATCACTCTATACAAGAGAAGGATGGTGCATAAATCCTATCCTCTCTAGATCCTTACTTCCCACCACACATTCCTAGTCTTCTGTTTTCTCTTACTCTTTGTAGGAATAACAATTTCACTGCAATTAAGATTTTCAGAAGTGTCCATTTTGCACCTCCCAAGAAATATTGTGAGATATTGCCTTTGAAATGTACACACTTGCAAGGGTTGGAGTGAACTTCTGTAAAATTAATATACAAAGCCAAGTATACAAAAGTACATGCAAAGAAAAACAGATATATTTAAACAATTACTTCTTTTTAAAGCAAGGGACAGAAATTTGTAGAAATATGGGTTAAAATATGTTTTAGACAATGAGGAAAGTGTTTACAAAAATGTAAAGGAAAAGCATAAGCAAAAATACATATGTTAGGAAACAGGTGTACGTATTGTCTGTATGTCAATTAAAAACTTTTTTTTTCTTTTGTAATGGTTTGTGAACAAAAGAGTGGAAGAATGCAGGTGGGATTTGGAGAAATGCACCGAAGTTGAAATTGACAGTTTTTCAAAAGTAAAGACTGGATTGTTATGTGGAACATGTGCGCTGGTCTCTTCTTGCACCCAAGGGCCAGTGTGCTGCAATAGAACGCACTCAAAAAAAGCAGAAAGTAGAAGATGGCTCTTTAGACCTTATGGCAATCCTCTTGTGTAGGAACAAAAGTGTCTATGAGAGGTGAGAGCTGAACAAACATAAATGACGATGCTGTTGCTTTCCACCAAAAGGGAAAATTGGATGAAAAGTTGGTTTTCTGAGAGAGCAGACTTAGCTCGATTTATATATAGGACAGTAGTTACTGATTGAGGTCCATGGGTTCCTGGTGGGATACTCAGACATAGGAAAGCCCTCTTCAGGAATTCGGAATGAATTAATATCTGTGGAGGTTATTGTGCACCCCATGGACAAGCCATTCATGTGTTAGGGAACGTCACACTTCAGCCCTATTCAAGTCTTCAGTGGAGAGCATGTAAAGCTCAAAGAGTCATGGGGGTAAAGGATGAAGGTAAGTCCTATACCTTGCATCCTTACCCTGACTAGAAGTCCTGCAGATCTTCAGACAAACAGTGAGGAGGTCTGCATAGTTGCTGTCAGGGCATTTATTTGAATATGCCTACAGCTTTTCCACAATTGCTGGCTCTTCCTTATCAGGACTGCTGGTCACAGAAACACTGTTAAGTACACTCACTTGAATGCACTTCTAATGCATAGGCAGATCTTTGCACTGAACATATAAAGATCTCCAGGATTTTTGGGTTGAGTAGGGTGAAGCTGGGCTAACGTGTCCATCCCCATGACCCTTTGGACTATGCATGTCTTCAAGCTGAATAGGGCTGTTCTTGAAAGGACGTTCAACTGAAAGTATTTATACTCCTGCAGGGCATTCCAAAACCTTGAAATTTCAGAAGCTCCCTTTACACCCTCGTCAAAACCCAATGATCCCCGCATAAGGATGGGTACATTGGGAGATGTTACTGATGCATGTAGTCACATGC